ATTCCAAATTGACTTTTCTCACTGTTGGTTCTCTTGCTTCCGCCTCCATAGTGTTAGGATCGTAGGTCTGTGCTGTCACACCTGACCTAAAGAAACATTTTAAGTAAAAATAAGAATGGATATAAACTATAAGTCCAGGTATGGTAGGGCTTACCTATAAACTAACACACAGAAGATGAAGCAGAAGGTTTAAGGAGCTTGAAGACATCGTGAGCCACATATCATAACCCTGTCTTTTTGGTTTTTCAAGACGGATTCTCTGTAGCTCTGGAGCCTGTCCTGGAACTCTGTAGACCGTACTGGCCTTGAACTCACAGAGATCTGCCTGTCGTCCTCACCATGAGTGCTGGGATTAAAGATGTGTGCCACCACCACCCAGCTTTTTTTTTTTTTTTCATGACCCTATCTTTTTTTAAAAAAAAAAAAAGGATAAAAAAACAAAACGAAAGATAAACTTTCACAAAAAGAACTTACTACTTTTTTACTCCAGCATGGGAAGGTTGCACATTGGTCTGCACTTTCTGTTGAGAGCTAGTATTTATTTAGCTAGTAGACTTGAAGCAGCCCTATATAAAGTCTCGAGGGCAACATTAGTCTATTTACTGAGAAAATAGTTCACTCCTTATGTTATTTGCATGTGGAAGATTTGCTCTTTGATTTTATTGCTTTTTCTGTCCCCACATTTGAGACAGTGTTTCTCTATTTGTCGCAGACTTGCTTTGAACACCTCAACCTCACAAGGGCTGAGATTATACCAATATATCTATCTCTGGCTCCTCCCCACTTCCACCTTCTCTGAAGGAAGATCTTATGTATCCTAAACTTCAAATTATATAGACAAGGGATTTCTGATCTTTCTGCCTCTGTCTTCCAAAAGCTGTGAATACAAACATGTTGGTAGATGGTTAGTTTATTGTACAGTAAGAATTGAATCCAGGATTTTGTGCCTGTTAGGCAAGCATTCCACCAACTGAGCTGCATCCCCAGCCCCCTAACTTAATTCCTTGATAATGAAAAGGTTATTTATGTAGGTTCTTTGTAATTGTATTGAAGGTTTCGATCATAACTGTAAACACCTGTGTGTGGGTTAATTGATGGAGGCCTCTGGAGGTCAGAGACCATGAAAAGACACTTTATACGAATAAATGTAAAAGCAGAACAAATAATATTTCTCATTTCAAATATTTTTTTTTTGAGACAAGATTTCGCTTTGTAGCCCAGACTGACTTTGAACTCACAGCAATCCTACCTCAGCTTCCTGAATGCCATATTAACAGGCATGAGCTACCCCATCTGTCTAGGCAATATCTCTTCTTCAGTGAGTTTATTCTGTTTGTGTAGGTGTGGGTGAGTGTGTGTTGCCTGCAAGAATGTTTGTGGACCATGTGTGTGCAGTACAAGGAAGTCCAGAAGAGGGCATCAGATTCACAGAGCCTGAAGTTGTGGACAGTTGTGAGCTGTCATGTGGGTGCTGGGATCCGAACCCTAGTCCTCTGGAAGAGTAAGTAGCCAGTGCTCTTAACTATTCCTATTACTATCTTCAAACTAAGTTGATATCTTTCAGAAGATTTATCAGGAGCATAGTGATACAAACTTGTAGTTTTACCAACTTGGGAAGCCAAGATGGAAGAGGATTGTGAGTTTGAAGCAGCTTAGGTTAAACAACAAAGTGAGAAATGGTCAAAATAACAACAAACTCCACTATCTCTACAAAATACTAACGAGTGCATCATTTCCATGAGGAAATCTTGTGCCATATTGCAAAGTGGAAGTGGTAGAGTAAGGTGCTGTACTCTTAAGTACTGTCCTGTCACTGTGCTCCAGTGTCAGCAAAGTAGGTGCTAGAACTCAATTTCAAAAAGCAGTATTTAATTTATACTGATTTGCAATCCTAGGAATTTCCTTTTGCTTGCTTTATATTATTACCATGTTTAGTTATTTATTTATTTTTGGTTTTTTTTTTTAAGATTTATTATTTATTATGTATACAGTGTTCTGTCTGTCTGTATGCTTGCTGGACATGAAGAGGGCACCAGACCCCATTACAGATGGTTGTGAGCCACCATGTGGTTGCTGGAAATTGAACTCAGGACCTCTGGAAGAGCAGTCAGTGCTCTTAACCTCTGAGCCATCTCTCCAGCCCCTATTTTTGGTTTTTCGAGACAGAGTTTCTCTGTAGCTTTGAAGCATGTCCTGGAACTAGCTCTTGTAGACCATGCTGGTCTCGAACTCACAGAGATCCGCCTGCCTCTGCCTCCTGAGTGCTGGGATTAAAGGCATGTGCCACCACCGCCCGGCTCATGTTTATTTATTGATTAGTTTTGAGATGGGATTTTACCATGTGCCTCAAAGTTGTGGTTTTGTTGTTGCCTCCCATGTGTTGGAATAACAGGCAGACAGTGCCATTTCCAGCCCTGGAATTTCATGAAGGCACAAAATTTGCTGAGTTGCTATGGAATTTTCAATGTTCACGCAGCTTCCCCTCATAGTAGCATTATACATAACCATGGTACAGTTAGAAAAATAAATTGAAACAATAAAATACTGTTAATTTCAGACTTCAACCATCTTCTTATGGCCCCCCCCCCCCCAAGAACCATTTCTGTTCCAGGATCCAGTGCAAGATGCCACATTATTTCTAGTGATCACTGTCCACATTTTGTCCAGTGGACACTATCTTCCCTTCAGTCTGGGAGGATTTCTTACATGACTTGATACTTTTGAGGGGTATTCATTATGGCTTGCTGTTTAATGGAAGTTCATAAGGCTAGAGAGTTAAGGTACACTTTTAGATCAGAAGACTGGTCTAATGACAAAAGTGTCAGTAATTCTATTTTAGAGGAAGCTACCATGAGGCTGTGCCAGTATCTGTTTTTCCTTACATTTCACAAACTAATTTTAGCTTCTGTGGGTGCATCTTGCCTGTAGTAATTACTAAGATAGCATTTGAACAGTGATTTTCTATCTTTCCTCCTCTGTTTGTTAATTAGTGTACAGGAAAGACAAGCTGTTTTGCCCTATCTAGAATCCAGGAAAGGATTTCTCATTCTTTTATCCAATTTTAATTTTAAACTTTTTAAAAGAGTTTAAAAGGTTTTATTTTTATTGTATGTGCATTGTTTTTTGCCTGCGTGTATGTCTGTGTAAGAATGTTAGGTCCCTTAGAACTGGTGTATACAGACAGTTGAGAGCTACCATATGGGTGCTGGGAATTGAACCTGGGTCTTCTGGAAGGACATTGTGCTTAACCACTGAGCCATCTCTCCACCCCACAAAATGTCTTTTTAAAGAGTGGCTTTGGATGGCTTGGAGAGATGGCTCAGCAGTTAAGAGCACTGACTACTCTTCTAGAGGACCCAGGTTCAATTCCTAGCACCCACATGGCAGCTCACAACTGTCTGTAACTCTAGGATCAAACACCCTCTCAAAGACACACATGCAGGCAAAAAACCAATGCACACAAAATAAAAATAATTAAAAAATAAAAAGAGTGGCTTTGGACCTGTGATGTCGTTCAGTTGGAAGAGTGCTTGCTTGGCATATGCAAAACCCCAGGTCTGATCCTCTTATAAAACGAAGTGTGGTCAGCACTTGGGATCAGAAGTTCAAGGTTTCCTCTGCTGTGAACTACACGAGATCCCGTTTGTTTGGCTTGTGCTGGAGATGAGCCCAGGCCCTCTCCCTTACTAAACTACTACTGTTACTTGCCCGGCTAGTCCTCTGCTACAGAGCTACCTCTTTTAAAGGAGTCAGGTTTTAGAGAATGGTTGATGTCTGAATTGTTTTTTTTTTTATGTCTAGTATTCTGTAACCTTCAATTTAGTTTTAAGCTTGATAAACCAGGCCCAGTGGTACATGCTAGTAATCCAGGGCTTGGGAGGTAGAGGCAGGGAAATTGCAAGTTCTAGGCTGCTCTGGAGTTCATAGTGAGATCCTGTCTCACAGAAAAAAAAAGTTTATTAGACTTGGGTTAGACTTTTATGACATGAAGCCTTCGTAAGTGGTACTGTCTAGTTTGTATTTTATATAATTTCTTGCTGAGAAGTCATAATGGTATCAGCCAAGGCTTTCACTTTGAAGTCAGGTTCTTTACCTTTTTGCAATTTGCTAAGTTATGTATTTACTGATGCTGGCATACTGTCAATGTCTAATTCCATGACAGTTGTTTTTAAAAAGATTTATTTATTTACTATGTATACATTGTTCTGTCTGCATGTTTGCCTGCACACCAGGAAAGGGCATCTGCTCTTATTACAGATGACTGTGAGCCACGATGTGGGTGCTGGAAATTGAACTCGGGACCTCTGGAATAGCAGTCAGTGCTCTTAACCTTGGAGCTATCTCTTCAGCCCCTCTATGCCAGTTTTGATCCTCATTGTTAAAACTTCCTGTGTACTTATTTAACAAGCATTCTCTGTAAAGAAGTGGCCCCTCTATCCATAAAGCTTGCTTACCCTGACTGTTCTGAGCTCCTGCTCAGAAGGCAGGGGAAATGGCTCCCTTCTCTCTTGTCATTCTCATTTTTGGAGTAGTAAGCACAGCACTAGCAACTGGAAAAATACTATGAGATGTATGGTCTTCTCTTTCCAAGTGCACCTTCTCTACTCACTATGTAGATACTGTTTCTCAGTGCGCCTCCTTTTGCCCTCATGCCCAGTGTCCTCATAGTCACAGTGGCTCTGTGCTGAACAGTAGAAAAAAGAAACTAAATTTACATTTTTGTGGGCATGTAGAGGTGCTTGTTTTGTCTTGGAAGAGTCGTAAGTATGCCTGTAACTGCTCCCCAAATTATTTTCATCAGGCAGCTTTAGAAATATAAAAAAGTTCGCTCTACCCTACCCCCAAGGCAGGAGCTCACTGTGTATCCCTAGTTGACCTAGAACTCAGCATGTAGACTAGGCTGGCCTTGAACCTGTGCAGGTTTGAATTATAAGAATGAGCCCACCATGCTTGTCAAAAAAGAAATCTAAAATGGTAAATTGTTTCCCTTTGTGTTCCAGATACGTGGGTAACCTTTCCCGAGATGTGACCGAAGCGCTCATCCTCCAGCTCTTCAGCCAGATCGGACCCTGTAAAAACTGCAAGATGATTATGGATGTAAGGGTATTTCACACCGCCAATGTTCTTTCTTTTTAAACATGAAAGCCGTCATTACTTCAAAACTTCTTCATTAATGTCTAAGTTTATAAGATTGTAGTGAATTTGTTTAGTAGGCAGTCAAATTTAATTCTTTTGCTAAGTGAAGGAAGAAAATTGAACTAGTCTTTAGAAAGGATAGTGTGTATGTGCTCTTCTAAGAGCTATTGAAAGTGCAAAATTGTTTTACATGTAGTGTCGGTTGAATTATCTACAAGTTCAGTTATTAGAATGGGAATTGAGGTAGACCTTTAATATAATGTAAAAAAATATATAAATATATAATGAAAAGAATTTTTAGCTTCATTTTTAAAGGTTTTCTTGCTTGTCTATCAGACTGTAATGTATAGAAAAATACATCAAACTTGTTCATATAGTTGGTGTTAACTATGAATAATTTCTAGTTTTTAAAACAGAGTTCATTGTTTATGTGTACAGGTGAATGAATATACATGTATGTGTACATGTGTGTGGAAGCCCGATGTCGACATTGGTAGTTCTTCATGCATGCACAGTAGATAGGATCTTACAGTGTAATTCAAGATGACCTAGAACTGTGCTATGTGAGCTAGGACGATTGCAGTCTACCTGCCTTAGCTTCTCCAGTGCTAACTTTACAATGTGTCTCCACAACCTGGGAATTAATTCATTGTTTTGTTTGTTTGTTTTTGAGGCTTGGTTGATGTAATTCAGACTGATCTAAAACTTGAAATGTTCTGCCTCAGCCTCCTGAGTGATAGAGTGGCATATATGTGCTACTACTCCCCTCAGAATCTCAGTTATTGTAGAATAGGAGTTTTTATTTAATTTTATATTTATCTCTGTGCTCTGAAATTTTGAACCGGTTTTCTTTAGTAATTCCTAGAAAGCCATAGAAAGAATTGAATTAATTATCAAGTCATTTAGTATCCCACACTGATAAGCTCAGACTAATTAGGTTTATTTTTCTACTTTAATTTACCATAAAACATTTTGAAACCAGGTGTGGTAGTGCATGCCTGTAATCCCAGGACTCAGGAGACAGAGGCATGAGGGTCACTGCAATTTGGAGGTTGCTCTAGTCTACATAGTAGTTCCAGACCAGCCAGGGCTCCATAGAAAAAGAGTCAATAAATAAACAAACTGCATCTTGCTTTGGGCCAGAAGTTTGTTTGGTGATAGAGTGCTTCCTTAGCAGGCACAAGGCCCTGGGTTTTGGGCTCCATCACTAGGGGAAAAGAAACAATCCAGATTTTGTTTATTGTATCCCCACTACCAGCAGAAAAGAAGAGGTGTTTTGTTTTTGTCTTTTGAGAGTCTTACTGAGTATAAGTATCCCCAGCTGTCTTTAGACTCACCAGGATGTCCTCAGCATTCCTGGTACTGGAGCTACAGATAGACAGATATTTTTTTCTCAGATTTAAAATTTTTATTTTATATAATGAGTGTTTTGCATACGTGGTGCTCGTGGAGGTCAGAAAACAGTATTAGATCCCCTGAAATTGGAGTTCATGGATAGTGTGAGCTACTATGTGATGCTGGAAAGCAAACGTGGGTCTCTGCAAGAACAACAAGTGCTTTTAACCTCTGCGCCAACTGTCCAGGCCCCAAGGGAAGACATTTATAATTCTTTGCAACAGGCAAAGAACTTGTATCAGAAGTTCACTTTCTAAGACCCATTGTAAATATTAGCACAGACTGCTTGGTGTCCAGAGTCTAGTTTAACTAAAGAATAGGCTGGAGGAGCTTAGTTAAAATGTTCTGTTGTTCCACAGATTGGAAGCAGTAAGATGTAAAAGTTTGTAGCAATAAAAAGTAATACACTGGGTAGGAGTGTGGTTTATGGTAGAGCATTATGTAGGGTGTGTAAGGCTCTAGATTTGATCCATAGCACTGCAAAAAGAAACAAAAGGGAAGCTGCAGGAAAATTATACTAAGTATTTACTTTTTTATCTGAAAATTTACTTGTAGAATGAGTGAGTCAATCTCCATAACCTGGTAACTGTAATTCTGTATTAAATTTAAGAGGGGATTTTTTTTTTTTAAAATGAAAGAGGTTTAAAATTGACTTCTGCATTTCTTTTCCAACAGACAGCGGGAAATGACCCATACTGTTTTGTGGAGTTCCATGAGCATCGTCATGCAGCTGCAGCGCTGGCTGCTATGAATGGGCGGAAGATAATGGGTAAGGTAAGCTGTCATAATTACAGAAGGTGACTTTCTCTGGAAAAGCATTTTCCTTCTTATCCTCCTGCCCCCACCTCCTAGGTGGGAACAAAAGCATGTGCCACCACACCCAGTGTTATGCAGTGCTTGGGATGGAGCCGGAACTTCGAACAGCACTCTACAACAGAGCTACATCCCCAGTTCTTGAAAGAGAAAGTTTTAAGTTAGATTTTACCTTATTTCTGTTTTAGAACCATTATATTCTCTTTATTGCAAAGGGTCAGTTATTTGTATTTGTATTTAAAAGGTAGGATGGGGCTGTAGAAATGGCTCAGTATTAAGAGCACTGATTATTCTTCCAGGAACTGGGTTTGAACCCTTATATCTACATGGTGGCTCACAATCATCTGTAATTCCAATCCTAGGGGATCTGATGTTTTCTTCTTGCTTCTGAGGATTCTGCGCACACATGATAACAGATATACATTCAGGCAAAACACCCATATGTGAATAAATTTAAATTTAAAAGAAAAGGAGCTGTGTAGGGCCCGGTTTATCCACAGAATCGGATGTTACAGAGCTGGTCATTTTGACACACACTTTTAAACCCAGCACTCAGAAGGCAAAGGCAGGCAGACCTCTATGAGTTCAAGGCCAGCCTGATCTACACAACAGGTTCCAGCTTAGCCAATGCTACAATAGTCTTGAATGAATGAATAGAATAAAGCTTCTAGAGACCAGAGGCCTGTGTTAGCTCCTTTTCTCAATGGTGCTGTGTACATGATAATGGTTATGGAACTATTCAAATTTGGATGTAACAGAACAGTAATATGGAATACAAATAGAGAGGCACGTATGGGTATCTTTGATTTTGAAAAGAAATATGGTCAGGTGGTGTGGCCCATGCTTTTAATCTCAGCACTCAGGAGGCAGAGCAAGTAGATCTGAGTTCCAGACCAGCCTGTTCTACAGAGCAAGTTCCAGGACTACAAAGAAAAACCCTGTCTCAAAAAAACAAAAAATAAAAATAGTAAAATAAAAAATAGAAAAACCAGGCATAGTGGTACATGCCTTTAATCTCAGCATTCTCAGCTTTACAAAGGCAGAGGTAGGTTGATCTCAATTGAGCTGGAGGCTAGCCTGGTCTACATAGTGACTTCCAGGACAGCCAAAGCTACATAATCAGACCCTATCCCCACAAAAGAAAAAAAAAAAACAGAAACAAAAATTAAAAAAAAAAGTTATTTGAACATTAGCAGAAATAGAAAAAGATTAGCATTTGCCAAACATATCTATATTAGCAGGACATGGATGCTAAGGCAAGAGAATTGCTAGTTTAAGACTTGCCTAGCTATAGAGTAAATTCAACCTCAACTTGGCAGACTTAGTGACTCATCTTAGAGTGAAATGTAGAGAGGGGCTGGACCAAAAATGTAGCTACCAGTTGTGAGTCTCCAGGGTCAATCCTCAGAACCATATTTAAAAAAAAATAAAAGATGAAAAACATTAATGTGTTGAGAGGTTGTTGAGAGAGCTCAATATGAAGAGCACCTGCTGCTCTTCCAGAGGATCTGGATTTTATTCCCAGCACCCACATGAAAGCTCACACACAACCTTCTGTAACTCTAGTTCCAGGGGATTCTTTGCCTCATTGACTTATCTACAGGTGTGTTTATCTGGTACTAGATACACAGACATAAATGAAGGCAAAACACCTATACACATTGTTGGTAATCTTCACTCTGGTCTCACTCCTCCCATTCCAGACCCTGCCCTCAGAAAGCCCACTAACGGTCAGCTCCTCCCCTGGAGTGGTTCAAGACCACACCCACGGGGTATTTAAGACCAGGTCACCAGACCTGTGAAGTGATTTCTCTCCTGCCTTTCTGAGAGTCACCTGGAAGTTAGTTTGCTGTTTATTAAATCTGGATTTATTAATTCAAGCTTATTTGGCTTATTGCGTCAATGGAGGAATCCCAAATTGGGGATTCCATACTTGTAACACATAAATAAAATAAATTTTAAAAAGAACAGAAAGAGGGGCTGGAGAAATGGTTTAGCGGTTAAGAGCTCGGGCCGCTCTTCCGGAGTTCTATTTCAGCACCCACATGGTGGTTTGCCACTGTTACTGCACCTCCACGAATTCCAGTACCTTCATAGAGAAACATATGGAGGCAAAAACACCAATGCCCATAAAACACCAATGCCATAAAATAATTCAAAACAAAACAGAAATAGTTGTATTTACTAGTTAGAATTTGTCAAACTAGGCCTGAAAATGAATGTTAGACTAATTAGCATAAGCATCCTCTACACTTTGCCTCGATTTCCTGTATCACAGGAAAATGTGAATTTGAGGTTTGGGTTTTTTTTTGTGTATGTGTTTTTTGTTTGTTGTTGGGTTTTTTTGGCAAATTTTTTTTTAAAGATTTATTTATTTATTATGTATATAGTAGTCTCAAGATTCTGTCTGCATGTATGCCTGCAGACCAGACGAGGGCACCAGATCTCATTACAGATGGTTCTGAGCCACCATGCAGTTGCTGGAAATTGAACTCAGGACCTTTGGAAGAGCAGGCAATGCTCTTAACCACTGAGCCATCTCTCCAGCCCCCTGTTTGTTGTTTTTGTTTTTTTTTTTTTAAATATTTATTTATTTATTATGTATACAATATTCTGCCTGCAGGCCAGAAGGGGTCACCAGGCCTCATTACAGATGGTTGTGAGCCACCATGTGGTTGCTGGGAATTGAACTCAGGACCTTTGGAAGAGCAGGCAATGCTCTTAACCGCTGAGCCATCTCTCCAGCCCCCTGTTTGTTGTTTTTTAGAACAGGGTTTCTATGTGTATCCCTGGCTGTTCTGAAACTTGCTCTGTAGACCAGGCTGGTTTTGAACTCGAGATCACTTGCCTCTGTCTCCTGAGTTCCGGAATTAAAGGTGCTTTCCTGCTGCCATCAGTGTCCAGCTTGAGCTTTAACTTTATGAAATATATTCCATTTATTTATTTATGTTTGTTTGTTTTTAAAGGAAGTCAAAGTGAATTGGGCAACAACCCCCAGCAGTCAAAAGAAAGATACAAGCAGTAAGTACATTTGATGCCCTGTGGGCATTTGTTGTATTATACCCCATAGTTCTATTGTAAAGCATATAACATCATACATGTTTGCAGTAATATTTTGATCGTTATCCTGATATGATTTAATATGTTTGTGTTAATAAATTTAAGAACAAATCTAATCTTTGTCATCAGGTAGTACCGTTGTCAGCACACAGCGTTCACAAGGTAATTGTATCTTCTTAAACATAAAATGAACTCTCTTGAAAGGGTATTCACTAACCACCTCAAATTTTTTATTTGATATTGGTTGGGGGGAGCGGGGTGGAAGGATGTAGTATTTTTATTTGTTTCTGGCAATATTTTCCCTTCTTCCCATTGTTGACCAAGTGTGGCTTGTCCACGGCTTTGTTGCTAGTTCAAGCTTTCTGTCCCCTGTGGTAGCAGCTGATGCCTTAGAAATACTTTCACCACCTAAAGGGCAAGATACCTTACTTCCCTGAGGTCACCTGGGCTTCATACCCAGATCTTCCAAGTGCTCAAGTTGCTCCTGAAACAGTGTTTCCGGAAGAGCAACCCAGTGTGTTGCTTAAGGCCTGCAAATAGGGGTAACTTTTCTTTCCAAATCTACTTTGTCAAAGTTGATATATGTGTCCATTTTAAAGTGTTCTTCAGCAAGTTTGGCTTTTCACATGTTTCTTTTGAGAATTGTTTTTAAAAACCAAAACCAAAGCTTCACATATGATATGGCTATTTCTCTCCAATGTTTTGTTTTTTTTTAAATGGTACTGATATAAAGTGAAGGGATTATTGTTTTCATTCTGTTGCCTTCAGTCTTAGTTCACTTGCACATGGACTCACATAAACTGAATGGTGTAATGTCTGGGCAACCAAAACTGTTGGCTTTTGAGAAAACTGTCAAATACTTTAACATCAAAGTGTTGCAATGCAAGGTATTTCTTTGATTGTTCTTCACAAAATAGTGGCTAAACCAAGTATTTCATGTAGCTAGCTTCAGTAAACTGCCTTAAATAAGGCAAATCTAGTCTTTGTAACTCGCATTACCACTACTTAATTGTAATTTATAAAGCATAGATATAGTAATAAAATGAATAGCAGTAAATAATTATCATTAGAATGATAACTAAGTCTTACTTTTTTTGCAGAACTGAAAGTTTTTATATGTTTTTAGTTTGTTTCCTAGACCCTTGTAATGATTGACTTTAAGTAGACAGTGCCTGGCAGCTTCTGGGAGCTATTGGTCTTTTTAGAAGACTCTTTCCTGTGTTGTTACTTTGAGTTGTTATGTTTAAGACTGGTAGGATTTTATAGTGAGGACAGTATTTTATACTTGATTGTATATATAGTCTGTGCATTATTTTGAGAACTCTTTATTTGTATCAGTTGAAATGTTTAAGTTCTGAAGTTGTGTTTTTCTCTTCACTCCCTCCTTCCTTTGTAAGATCACTTCCATGTGTTTGTTGGTGACCTCAGCCCAGAAATCACAACTGAAGACATCAAAGCAGCTTTCGCACCGTTTGGGAGAATTTCGTAAGTAACAAAAGATAAATAAAACACTTAACTAGAAGAGATCTTATGTAATAATAACGATATAACTTTGTTGTGACTATGATCCTTAATTTTAACCCTTTAAGTATAGCATATTCCATTGCTTAGCTATCATCCAAGAGTCTTAACAGCAGGTTGTGTTCCCACTAATGAGTACTTGATCTTGGGTCATCTTAGACCCTTGCTCAGTTAGCAGCACTTCCTCAGGCTGCTGTCATAGACATTCACACCTCCTGGGGGTGTTGTGCTGTAATTGAAGGAGTTATTCAGGCATGTGTATGATTACATGCAATTTATGTTAATTTAATAAAATAAAACCTCAACAGCTCAACAGTTCTGATTGAAAAAACAGTTGTTGAATGTTACTTCCTTGGCATTTAATTCCTCCCCCCTTTAAAACTTAGCAGTAGTGCTTTGTACTGTTTTGGGAAACACTGACTTCCTTACATTTGATAGTAGCCATGCATTTGAGGTCCTTTGTCAATATTTATTCATTACAGAAGAACTTTAGAAGTCTGAAAAGCATGCCATATTACAGTAAGAATAACAAGCAATTTCAGTATTTATTCAGAAGAAGTTGTTGAGTTCAGGGAAAGTGTTGTAGGCTTTCTGACTCTGTTGTAGCTATGGCTGGATTGAAGAGAAAGCAGATCGAGGTGAGGAGACTGGAAAGTAGATACCCATAGCATTGTGGTGAGTTTTCAGTGAGCATTGCAGTTGGTTGGTGAGCGTGACCGTGAGGGTAGGACAGGACTCTTCTGTCCCTTGACAGTTTCTTTTGTGAAAGCTGGTTAAGAAAATAACGAGGTTTTCATTTCTTGGTTTTTTGTTGTTTTTTTTTTTATAAACTTTGTTAGGATTTCAGTGGTTGATTTGCTTTCAAGTGTCTAGGCTAGGCAGGTCTTACTTTAACTTTGTTCTGTCAAGCTCTAAAAGTCCCTTCCTGCAGAATCTTGGGCATTTTCAGTTTGGTGTAGAGAATCTTGGTAAGTTTCATCCTGTCCTCAGAGTAGTCATAAGATGGCAGAGGCTTAAGACTTCCATTCTGATCCTTGCTTCTTTCTGTGCAAGTCATTGTAGAAGGAAGGAAGGGTCAAGTATATTTCAGGGCTGGTACTTGTGAGACACAAGGAAGAATAAAGAATAAAACCTTTTCTTACATGAACAAGTAAAGTAGCTATTCTGGTGGATTTTTAATTTTGGTTGAATTACCTTTTCTAATGAGAATTTTATTTAGAGTTTTAGATAAATATTGTTTAGTAATTATTGAAGGGCTGATAAAATGGTTCAGCAGGTAAGGTTGCTTGCTATCAGGCCTGATGACCTAAAACTCCACGTGGTAGAAGGAGAAAGGTAACTCCTGAAAATGGTTCTCTGACTTTCATACATTTATGCGTGCACACACACACACACACACACACACACACACACACACACAAAATGTTTAAAAACCTATAAAGTTAAATGACTTTCAAATTTAACAGTTTCATAACTTTGTAGTAATAAACTAGTCTATCTTTTTTGAAATGTGACTACATCATATTTTTAGTCTGGATTTTTTTGTTTGTGTATTTATTTTTATGTGTGTGGATACATATGTGTGTGCATGTGTATATAGGACAGAGGTTAACATCTAGTACCTTCCTCCATCACTCTCCTCCTAATACACCAAGGCAGAATTTCTCACTAGAATTTAGAGCTCACCAGTTCTACTAGTCTAGCCAGCTTACCCTGAGTGTGCCCTGTCTCTGCCTCCCAAGCACTGGAGTTAAAGGTGAGCTGCCACACTGACGTGACATGTATGTGCTGGAGGTCTGAACTCGGGTCCTTTCATTTGCATGACAGCACATTATCTGCTGAGCTATTTCCCCAGCCCCAGTATTTGGATTTTCCTATGGGCCTACAATTGTTAATTTATTAATTTTTTTTCTTAGTAAGGCCTTTTTGTTGTGGTAATGTGTGTATTTAAATGTTAGCTTATATAGGAAGTTAGCTTTCTTAAATTTATAAGAACTATTTGACAATTGAAAGTACACATTTCTATTTTTGTTTGTGTTGTTTCTTGTCTTAAGGTGACATGCTGGTAGGAATATTGGAGGGTTTCTACAATAGATGTCTCTGTAGGCAGTTTACACTGCTTGAAGGTGTTGGGTACACGGTGATCTATTAAATATTTATTGTACAAATAAGTCCCTAATTTATATAGCTTAAACCCTTTCTGTTACTTGAGTTTAGGGTCATATAGCAAATTTTGTTATAGAAATAAATCAACTACCAAATTAAATGCATCTGTGCCATGTAGATAATAGTTAATGAGAAGTGACTTATATTGGTTTAATCATCAGTATCTCCGTCATTTTCATTGCACTTACTAAGTCACTTCTAAACTGATCTAAAATATGCTTGTGTATACTTACAATTGCATGGCTTTCTGACTTGAGTTCTTGTTGTAAACATGCATATTTTGTTCATGTGTCTTGAGAGAACAAGCATTGTGACATATCTGGCTAATTTAAATTAGTGAAGCACAGTTTGAGTCCAGTTTTTGAGGTATGGAGTTTTAGCTGTCGTGACTGGGTTTTACTCAATCTCAAATAATAGGGCTCTGGTTATTTTGCAGAGTGTCTCTGAAGAATGGACAGAATTGCCCTGGCTAACTACAAGCTACGGTTCACAGTGGATAAATGTTGGCGTGCTTTTTTACTTTCTGACTTTTTAAAACTTTATTTCATATCTTATAGTTTCCAATCAATCTTAATATGAATGCTGTTATGAAATTCAGTACAAAAATCTTTTCTTAAATAGTTTAAAAGTAAAATGTGTTGGTAGTATTCTTCAATGATTTAGCATTTCTGAAAATGTCATGTTCTCAAAATTTACCCTAGCCCAAAATGGAGTATACATTCATCTGAGAAAAGGAAGTAATTAGCTTAAGGGATATATAGTTTTTTGATCTTTTAGTTTTCAGTTTTGTATTTTAATTTTTTGAATGACTAGGTAGAATATGGTGCCAAATAGCAAATTATAATTTGCATGGTTAAAGAAAGACATTATATTATACCTAAGAACCTTGTAATTACTAAGTGATTAATGGAAACATTTGCTTTCACCATGCTTAATATTTAGATGTTCATAAAACATTTTGAAGTGGGAAATAGTCTTTATAGTATAGACTTATATTTAAGACATTGATTTGCATGTCTATAAAATTAACCCTCATTGGCCAATAAATTACATTTTATAGAATAAAAGATAAATTTTTATTAGTGGTTTACTGCTAGTGAAAGTGAAATGTAAAAATAAATTGTATATGACTCTTACTTTATGCCAGGACAGTTTACAAAACTCAATTTCCGGTGACTTCTGTTTCAGAGATGCACGCGTGGTAAAAGACATGGCTACAGGGAAGTCCAAGGGATATGGCTTTGTCTCCTTTTTCAACAAATGGGTGAGCACAATCAGAAGTGCATGCACAGTGCTGTAGAGTGGGACAGAAACACTCAGGTTGTTTTAATCTTTTTGTCTACTGTGTATTTAGTTCACTGGTAATTAGCACCTTCACTAGAAAGCAGCTCTTTTATTGTTTATTTAGTCATTTAGCTCCTGACACAGGCAAAATACTGATACTGTGTTTCAAATAATGCAAAGTAAAAATGCTTAAACCAAAATAAACCAGTCCAAAATGTTTTGTGAAGGTACTTTCAATGATTTGTAATTGCTCTGTTGTCCCAAAGACTGTGAGAGATATATATTGCTGCCTTACCCCTGTTTAGCATTCCCTAAACCCATTACCAGGCAAATGGAATTTAAAGACAATGTTGCAATTTTGGAAAGCTATTGGTATTGTGTTCCATGAAGCATTTTCCTTTTTTAAAAATCTGTACAAAGCATCATATTTTCTTTATTGCTATAAGTTATCTGTAATATCAACTAATTACAGCTTCTTTATTGTCTCTAATGTGCGGAACAGGATGCAGAAAATGCCATTCAGCAGATGGGTGGCCAGTGGCTTGGTGGAAGACAAATCAGAACTAACTGGGCAACCCGAAAGCCTCCAGCTCCAAAGAGTACATATGAGTGTAGGTGCTTTGGAGAAGAGAAGCAATATGGAATTGTGGAGAGAAATTACACTAGATTTTAAATGTTAGAGCTGTTCCCGGAGACTTATTGCAGAAATAGATGAGAAGCAGATCAAGACTACTCTTCAAAATGTACTTAGTTTTTTTTGTGATTTTAAATAATTATCTTATCTCTAATGTCAAGTCTCCTGTTAAATAGAGCATATGGGATAGTGTTTATGCATTCTTGGGGGAGGCTTCATTCTAAACTAAAATTAGTATGTGTTTTATAGGCATTTTGATTGAGGAAAATTGCCGTTATAGTAGGGTAGTTCATGAATTAATCCTTCCAAATATGGGTAATGATTTGAAGATAGAAAATGTTTTCTCTTCCCAGCGAACACCAAACAGCTGTCATATGATGAGGTTGTAAGTCAGTCTAGCCCCAGCAACTGCACTGTGTACTGTGGAGGAGTGACGTCGGGACTGACAGGTATGGGAGTTTGCCTGTGTGGCACCTTGAAACTAGCTTAAACTAAAAAGGTTCGTATCTATAGTTTTTTTTTAATACTATGAATTCCTTTTCTTGTGTTGTTTTTGTTTTCTAACAGAACAACTAATGCGTCAGACTTTTTCTCCATTTGGACAAATAATGGAAATTCGAGTCTTCCCAGATAAAGGATATTCATTTGTTCGGTAGGGGTAATTTTTTTCAAAACTTCTTTTCTTCAGAAATAATTTTGAGCATTTAGTATAGTGGTTTTCTTAAGATTTTGTCTTGGCTTGTCTGCTTAAACCCCAGTTCAAGTGCATTCACCTGGATTACACTGAGACCTGAAAGAGAAACTTCTTTAGTGTATAGCTGTGTACTCATGTTTTTATTAACCTTTTCTTTTTTTTTAATTGACAAGGTCTTACTGTTCTGCTTTGGCTGGCCTCGAACTCTCAGAGCTCCACCTGCCTCTGCCTTTCAAGTGCTGGCATTGAAAACTACTTAATGATATATTTTTAGGACTCCCTCTTCCCAACTCAAGGCCAATAAAGCATACCATTCATTAAATGAAATTTCCTGTGCCAGGGATGGTGGTCCATTTCTGTAATCATAGCACTTGAGAGGTGGAGAATCTCTACAACTGTGAGATCTTTAAAAAATAAAAAACATAGCAAAGGAAATGTGGCACTTTTTTGGTGGGTAGGTAGGGATCATTTCAGCATCCTCTATATTTTTTTTATGGTTGCTTTGCTTTTCTCCCCCAAATGGTAGTCAAATTTATTTTTCATGATTTTTAAAAATAGTTTGTGTTCATAAATACTTAAAAGAGTTTATATTGGTGATTCTTAATATTGTTTCCAATAGGTTCAATTCCCATGAAAGTGCAGCACATGCGATTGTTTCCGTTAATGGTACTACCATTGAAGGTCATGTGGTGAAATGCTATTGGGGCAAAGAGACTCTTGATATGATAAATCCCGTGCAGCAGGTGAGAGGGTCCTTGACTTTGGGATGGACTTGCTGGGCTAGTAATGAGGTTGCTTTAAAATGAAGCTTGTTGATAATCCTTGTTAATGAGTTTCTAGCTCACTTCATAGTATATAAGGGCTCTTCCTACATGTATTATAGTTCCGGAGTGGTGTGTCATGGATTGCAGTGGTGACATGATGAGTGTAACCGCCTCAGTTGACTCATGCTCACACAGTGGACTTTAAAATGCTCCGCCAAACCTAACAGGGTATTAAATCTTTTCTTAATACTTGGTAGATTTATTCACAATGATTTGGAGAACTCACAAGCATGCTTGGCCCAACTGAACAAAATATAAAGCTATAAATATATGTAGGTTCTAGTATTGCTGCTTTTTCTTTTTCTAGGGAACTGTAATGGTCCAGACTCAGCAACACAGAGATTTCTGTGAGGGAGTTGTAAATGGAGCATAGATGTGCTAGTGAGAAACCCTAAACCACATCTATACTTCATACATTCCCAATCTAGAGGAAATACTTATAGACAGTTATGAACAGCAAGCTCAGTCTTTATCCTTAGTACATTGCTTTAGCCTTCCAAGGACTGCCATTTAGAGCACCACATAATTTCAGTAATCTTTCTGTGTGTGTGTGTGTGTGATGCTGGGGATATAATCCAGGCCTCACATAGATTCAGTACGCACTCATTCTACCACTGAGCTATATTCTCCCAGTCCAATCCTATTATTTCAGTTGTGTAATGGTCCTGTGCTTTGGCTGTGTGGTGTATTAAGACTTTATATACAAAGAACTTCAAGTAATACTAAATTATCTGTTGTAATTTTACTTGATAGCAGCAAAATCAAATTGGATATCCACCGGCATATGGCCAGTGGGGCCAGTGGTATGGAAATGCACAACAGATTGGCCAGTATGTGCCTAATGGTTGGCAAGTACCTGCCTATGGAATGTATGGCCAGCCATGGAGCCAGCAAGGATTCAAGTAAGCACATTTGCTCTTTGCCTTTTGTAACCTTGGAAAACATCAGAAAGAAACTTAAGTATTGAGTAGATCATGTGGCCCCAGGGTTAAGCATAATGATAGCCTTGAAGGATTTTACCCAAGGTTCACATCTTATCTCCACATGCTCTATAAGGAATGTGTGCTCTCTCCCTCTTTTTCTCTCCCTCCATACATGTGCAAACAAAATAAGATAAAATTTTGCCTAGAAATATTTTTCTTTGAAATCTGATTACAATAGTACAAATTTTGGTGATGTTTAATAATAAATGAACTTTTTTATTATTACATATTTTTTATTTGTGTGACACACATACATCACTTGTTACTCATGGTGTCCAAGAAAAGCTTGTGGGAGTTCTTTCCTTCTTCCATATGCGCCATGGTGATCTAGCTCAGGTTTCAGCCTAGTGGCAAATACCTTGACCCAGTGAACCATCTTACCAGTCCCAATTTTTTTGTTTGTTTGTTTTCTGAGGCAAGATCTTATAAAGCCCATGCTAGCCTTGAACTTGATATAAAACTGATGATGACTTTGAACTCTTACTTCTCTTGCTTCGACTTCCCAATTACAGGGTTCCAACAACACACCCAAATAAATCAACCTTCTAGTGAAAAGTACTTGATAGTTTCTAATCTTTTCAGGTGACTGTAGCTCCTTACCTATTCTTTTTAAAAATTTATTTATTTTTATTTTATGTACACCTGCATGAGTATCTATATGAGTATGTTGCATTCCCTAGAACTGAGGCTTCCATGTGGGTGCTGGGAATTGAACCAGGTCCTTTGGAAAGAGCAGCCAGTATTCTTAACAACTAAGCCATCTCTCTAGCCTCCTAATCTGTTCTTCAATACATGTTTTTAAAGATATGTTTTATTTCTGCAATCTCTTGGCTGCATATATGTTTGTATATCACCCTGGTGTCTGCAGTGGTTAGAAGAGGACATTGAATCACTTAGAACTGGACTTTGGATGGTTGTGAGCCACCATGTGGGTACAGGGAATTGAATCTGGGTCCTTTGCAAGAGCAACAAGTGCTCTTAACTCCTGAACCAACTTTTGCAACCCCCAGATATACATTGTTAACCCAGAGAAAAAGACTCTCCCTTTATGTGGGTTCCTGCTATCAAAGAGACTCCCCATTCTCTCTGTGTGTCTGTTCCTCTGCCAAAGAATTTGGCCTCTGAGATGAAAATTTGCTCTAGGAGCTTTCCTTTTCCCCAATCTCTGTGGTCCCCCACTTGCACCACACAAGCTATTAGCCTCAGTCTTTTTGCCATTGTTACTTGTCTCTGCCCCCTAATCAGGTTCCACAGTTTATCAAGGACATTTGGGCAGCAAGTTTGGTTCTTCATACCCAAGGTAACCAATGTCTCACAGGTGACATTTGTCAAAGTTGATCCTGTGATGATGTAGAACTCTGGCATTAACCCAGCCTCTGGTGTTTTTGTTGTTTGCCAATGCAGCCTTGGTGGCTGTACCCACATGGCCCTGAACTTTGTTCCCTATGAGCAGATGAAATGAACAAGCAGTACAAGTACTTTGATATGCATTGTGCTTTTTTTTCTCTGTATGAAAGGTTTGTTCATACACTGTTATGTCACAGGGCTTAAACACCCGAATAATGCCATTTTATTTACATTTCTAAAAAACTAGGATTATAAACACATTAAATTAAGATATACTGTAAGGCAGATGAGGTGGCATACTCTTAATCCCAGCTTTCAGGTGGCAGAGGCTGGTACATGTCTATAATTTGGAGGCTAGCATGATTTACATAGCAAGTTCCATGCTAGCTCAGGCAACAGTCCTTTTTCCAAAAAAAGAAATGAAAGAAAAAAAGAAAAGAGATATATTGTATATGTGTCTGAAAATGTCCGATTAGAAATATTCTGTAATGGAGCTGGGAAGATGGCTGAGCAATTAAGATCACTTGTTTCTACAGAGGACCTGGTTCTCAGCACCCACACGACAGCTCACTCTGTAATTTCAGTCCAGGAGATCCAGCTAGGCATGCTGTGCACATGTATACATGCTGGCAAAAACTCAAACACATAAAAATAAGTCTTAAAAAAAGTAAAGATAAAACTTTAAATATTCTTTTTAAAACTACTTTAAAATTTTCTTTGAGAATTATAGATGTTAGTTTGCCCTATTCCTGGTAATCAAGTTTGTGTGTGTTTGTGTCTTTTTGCTTTGAGACATTGTCTCGATATAGCTCTTACTGGCCTGGAAGTCACTGTTTTGAAACAGAGATCTGCCTGCTCTGCCTCCTGCAAACAAAGGGAGTGGCTTGTATAACGTGCATCTGGCCTAAGTGGGGAGATGGTTTTTCTGAGTTCAAAGGGAATAAAAATTAATAGATTAAAAATATTTTCTTTCTTTCTCCCTTTCTTTCCTTTTCTTTTTTCTTTTTTCTTTTTTGTTTTTTTCTGAAACTCACTCTGTATACCAGGTTGACCTCAAACTCACAGAGATTCACCTGCCTCTATCTCCCAATTACTGGAATTAAACGCCCAGCCTAAAACTATTTTCTTGGGGCTGGAGATATGACTCAGGTAAAGAGCTGCTCTTCTAGAGGTCCTCAGTTCAATTCCCAGCAACTGTATGGTGCCTCACAACCACTATAATGAGATCTGGTACCCTCTTCTGACATGTAGGCAAACATGCAGGCAGAACACTGTATACATAATAAATAAATAAAAATATTTTCTTATCTCTGATTTCTTTTAAAAAAATAATAAATTACCCAAATGTATGTATTGTTTTGGGGTGTTTTTGTTTTTTGGGGGGGATGAGTTTTTTGGTTTTTTGGGGGGGGGGTGTGTGTTTTTGTTTTTCAAGGCAGGGTCTCTCTGTAGCTTTGGAGCCTGTCCTGAAACTAGCTCTTATAGACCAGGTTGGCCTTAAACTCACAGAGATTCGCCTGCCTCTGCCTCCCGAGTGCTGGGATTAAAGCGTGTGCCACCACTGCCCAGCAGTTTTTTGGGTTTTTTTGAGACAGGATTTTGCTGTGCAGACCTGGCTGTCCTAGAACTAGCTCTGTGGACTAGGCAGGCTGTCAAGGCTTGTATCACCATGCCTGGCTGGGGATGCTTCTTTTTAAGAGGAAATACTTTTGTGTTTGTTTTCCCTGCCTTAACAGCTTTTCTTATATTTGGACTAAGAAAAGGTATGTCCCTTCAGGCTGAAGAAATGGCTCAACAGTTAAGAGCACTGACTCTTCTTCCAGAGGACATGGATTCAATTCCCAGCATCTGCATGGCAGCTTATAACTGTCTGTAACTCCAGTTCCTAGGGACCTGACACTCTCACACAGACATACATGCAGGCAAAACACCAATACACATGAAAAAAATAAATAAGTTATAAACAAGAATATAGAGAAGGTGTATCCCTGTGTTTGTGCCTCTTACACCTGGCCTGACAGTGTTTTAACAATGGATTTCCTTCCCCTCTGCTTCTCTCACTTTCTCTAACAGTCAGACACAGTCTTCTGCACCGTGGATGGGACCCAATTACAGTGTGCCGCCTCCTCAAGGACAGAATGGCAGCATGCTTCCTAATCAGCCTGCTGGGTATCGAGTGGCAGGGTATGAAACCCAGTGAAAGCAGACTACAGAATGGAAGCCAGTGGCTTGACGCCACAGGGAGGGTAGGAAAGCTGCTGTTTACTTAAAGATTTATCAGATAAGTCCATACAAATGCCAGATAACAATGTATTTATTTAAAAGGTTTCATCTTTTAATCATGAAATTACTTTTCATCCACATTGTTTTAAAAAGGAACAAGATGGTGGATGTCTGCCAATTTTTGCCTTCATTATCTTTTTTGATAAAGTTTCTCAGATCCTTGTTTCAAAGACAAATGCAGGGATTGCTGCCACTTTTTAAAAATTAAGAGGCAGAAAATTGCACAATGTTGAACTTTTTCCACTAAGGTAGCGTGCAGTTTTAGTTTGCATTCCTGATAGGATTTAAAACATGTAATATAGATGTAAAAAGAAAAGCCAAACTTGTGCAAAGTCTAGAAGTTCTTTAGAACTTTCAGCGTATGCACGGTTCTGTGTTAGTTTTAAAGAGTAGGCATTGTGTGACCTATATCATCTCCACTGTTACCCCTTTGAAATTTTTAAATGTAAATTATTAGTTTATATCATTTTGTATCTGCATTTTTCACAAATTTGTCCTGCCTTATGAAAATTCTGTAAAATAGTCTTAAATGAAAAAAAATGATGTTCACTTAGATTGAAAACTTTTCTCAGATGGACTGAAAATGACATTCATCTTGTTTTTATATGAGAAGGTGCCTCAAGGATCCCCTGTTGGATTTGTTTAAAGGGATTTTTATCTTCTGTGATAAACTTTGCCATCTACCAGGAACTATAAAAACAACAACTTGTGACTAAGGAGACTGCAGTGTGCTAAGTCCTCACCCACATCAGCTTCATGTGTCAGCATCCATGTTTACATGTGTTGTTTTCTAAGATAGTTCCGCAAGTGATGTTTTGCAGTTAGCAAGCTTTGTGTGTCATTCCCTTCCTAAAGGTGTCATGAAGAGTTGGTGTGAGACGGGTTGTATGTTTGCATGTGAATATCACATACTTACTTTGATGGTCTTTGATACAAACTCATCTGTTCTTGTTTTTCAAGAATTTTGAGACACAAAGTTGTATGTAAAGGAATATATTAATTTGATGTTTTCTATTTAGATTTACTTAAAGAAGTAAATCCTCTTTAATGTGTACAAATGATAGCTGTGAAACTGTAGAATATTCCTCTGTCAGGCTTGGGATTCATTAAGAACTCCAAAATTAGCCTGAAGGACCAGCCGGGCAAAACATTTTTTAAATATTCAGAGGCCAAAATATGAACAAACAAACAAACAAACAAAAACCCTTAAAATCCTACCTCCTTAAACAGCCGTCAAAGACGAGGCTCCTCAGCACAGGCTTGACTTGGTTCTCTGGTCCGTGATCTCCAGGAGCTCCGGCATTATTTTTGAGGTTTGCTCTTTGATGGCATCGTTCTAGCCTTGGGATTTCTAGTACATTTCAGAGTCTCTTGGTTTGGTTTGGTTTCAGTGATGACCACAACCTACTTCTTGACATCAGAGAGGAAGGAGCCCCTGTGAATTGTGGGTTTTGAGACCTGCAGAGAGCTCCCCGCATTTTACTTAGGCCTGTGGAATTGGAAACATTTCCTGGCCTGTATCTTCCAGGGAGGAGCACTTGACTCTAACCTGTTCTCTAAGCCAGTCCTCTTGGAAAGCAGAGCCCAGGAAGACAGCTCAAAATGTGTGCTTCTCTGGAGCTCAATTCTATGCAGTTGTGCTGATGTCTCATTAAGTCACTGTGTATTTTTAAGTACTAGTACATTGAAATTTGCTTTATGAAAGATGAATAAATTTTTTAAATACTTGAAAATTTTATTTCTTTGTAAACTTCTACAGATCAACACAGGCAATAAAAGCAGCTTAAATAAATTACTTAAAAAATTTTTTTTAATTTGAAAAAAAATAAACCATACACATCAGGAAGCTATTTTGGCCAATTTTTCTTTTTTTAGCTTTTTTTCTTCTGCCTTTTGTTTCTATTATAGTACCCTCAGTATTTTTCTCTATTAAAGAATTTTACTTCCTTTGCAACTCATAGACCACAGGATCATTTGAGCACAAGTAATTTATTTTGTGCAAAAGTATGTTTCTCTCTTCTTTTGACTCAGTACTGAGGACTTTTATTAGCAGCATGTTTTTATTGCACAGATCTTAAAATGCACGTTGATTTACTGTTGAGAAGGTGGTGGTGACGTGTTCCTGATGAAAGACTGACATTTTAGGAACATGGCTGGCATTGGTTTAAATTTCAATGTTCAATCATTTAAATCATTTTCAACCTAAAGAACTTCATCCTGGTATAAGTATCAGGTAAGGAAATTAAGGTTTTTAAACTGAACTTCTTTGCAATATGCATTCAAATTTTACTCTCTGGTACTGTATAGAAGCTGAGTGACTCCTGGGGGGTCATGGAGCCAGTGTTCTTTATCCTGACTGTTTGGATATTAAAATTCCTTTATGTTTTCTATGACCTGTGAGATCTTCTTGCAGTGATTATTGTGTGTGCGAGTTTTTTCCTGGTGTATTCTGTTGTTAACAATCAGGTGTTTCATAAGAGTTCTTTCACCGTATCCCTAAAGCCATAGTCTGCATGGGTTCCACAGCGGCTCTGCAGGCTTACCTCACTGAAACCAGAGTAAGGTCTTCCCGGTGGAAATAAGACTGCAGTCCAGGTTTTCCTTCTCTTGTTTTACCTCTGCTCACCTTCCTTCTAGATTCGTGATAGAGTTCCCTTCCATTTTCAGAAGACTAAATAAGTTGCATTCACAGTTAGACTCAATAAAAGCTATAGATAGGTGCTAGTGGGATTGTAGTTCAGGTAGTGAAACAGATTATGTGCATAGAGAATTTTAAAAAGTAAATATTTTAAACGAGTGATGATTTCTGAGAACTTTTACTAATTTATTGGTCTGGTGACCTGGCTGCCACCAAGCCTGATGACCTGAGTGTGATCCTTAGCGGAAATAGAGCACTAACTCTCAACAAGAGGTTATCTCCACGAGTGTGCGCCCCGCATGCCACAAATATAAATAAATATTTAAAGCCGATGGTTCTTTTTGAAATATATATCATATATGTGTGTAGCTGTGCTTGTGGGTACAGGTGCCTGTGGATGCCAGAAGAGGGGGCGTTAAATGAGAGGGTGTTAAATTCCTGAGATGGCATTAGAGGTGGTGAGCTGTCATTGGTACCAGGAACTGAAATATGAACGAACAGTACATGCTCTTAACTACTGAGCCTTCTGTCTAGCCCCTTTTTTCTTTTTCTTTCTTTTTTTTTTTCTTATCCTTTTTGTTTTGACTATATAGCCCTGACTTGCTTTGAACTCAGAGATTGATCTACCTCTGCTTCTGAGTGCTGGAATTAAAGACCTGCCTTACTTACTGTTTTATTTCTGTAAGGAAACATCATGACCAAGGCAGTTTATAACAGAACATATTTAATTGAGGACTTGCTTACAGAGGGTTAAGTTCATTATTGTCATGGTGGAGAATATGGCAGCAGGCAGGCATGGTGCTGGAGTAATAGCTGAGAGGACAAGGGAGACAGAAAGATTTAGCGCCTGGCATGGGCTTTTGAACCTAAAAGCCCACCCCTAGAGTCATACCTCTACCAAGGACACACTTAGTTCTCCCCAAACAGTCCACCAACAGAGTCAGTCAAATATGTAAGCATATGGGGGCCTTTCTCATTGAAACTGTCACTGAGAAGTATACCATTTTAATTATTGACAAACATCCCAAAACATTGAGTTTTCAGTCTTAATGAAATGAAGATGTTGCAACTGAGCAGAGGTTTTTTTTTTTTTTTTTTTTTTCCTCCCTTTTCTTTGAGACATTACTCGTGTGACTGTATGATCAAGGAGGTCTGTAATCCCACCACTTAGGAACTTGAGGCAGGAGAATGACCATGAGTTTTAGACCTGGCCTCCATGGGCATCTGCACATATGTATGTGCAGCCTTAGAAATACACATAATTAAACTATTATTTCTTTTTTTCTTAAGCTTTATTTTTATTATTTTTAAACCATGTGTTATTGTTTCAAAAAGAAATGTGTGTTAGGGTCTCTGTGGTTAAGGACACTCACTGCTCTTCTAAGGGACATTGGTTTAATTCCTAATGTTGGCTTTCAACCATCCATAACTCCAGTTTCACAGATTCCAATGTCCTTTTTTTTTTCTCCAAGACAGAGTTCTCTGTGTAATCTGTGTAGCCTTAACTGTCCTGTAACTCAGAGATCGTCCTGCCTCTGTCTGGATTAAAGGCGTGTGCTACTGCCCAACTCAAAATGTCTTTGAAAGTCACCCAAAGTTCGGAATTCCGTCAGGTGTTTTCTCACCTGGTTAATTACAGTATAATGCAAGAGTTCAAAGAAGGGACTTGGGCTGTGTGAGAGCCAGTTACATTTTAAGTTTTAATTACAATACATAAGAGATCCATTAAACAAAAATGCTTCTGCTCTGCAGGCCCCTTGCCCAAAGACAGATAGTTCCTGAAATGCTGGAAGCTACTGTTTATGGGAAATAACAAGCCACATGTTTTCAGTACCCTAAACAAGTTTATTTGACCCGTCTGTACCGGATGTGCTTGATCACATGTGGGCTGGTGGTTCACAGGCAGGAAACACATCAAGATATATGCCTGTCCCTGATTGGATGTAGGCCAGAGGTACGTCAGGATGAACATGATGGAAAATGCAATGAATTATGGGTTTTTCTTCTTAAGCCCTTGCCTTACTTGATTCTGGGCCATTATTTCCCAGGAACATGGGTATGTACCGGGCCAGAGCCCATCCACCTGACTAGTATTTAATTAAAACTTGCTTCAAATTTGACTTTAAACTGTGGTAGTGGTTTTATTCTCGAATAGTGGGATTAATGGCTGAAGAGGAGGCTGAATGGTTAGGAGCACTTGCTGCCCTTGAGAGGACCAAGTTTGGTTCTCAGCATCCACGTTGGACCGCTCACAACTGCTTCTAATTAGCTAGAGGACCTGGTGCCCTCTTCTGGCCTCCACAGGCACTTCATTCAGGTGCACATACCAGTGTTTCTCAACTTGGAGGTCCAAGTTCCCTTGGGAATAAGAACATCTGATATCGTGCATATCAGATATTACATTACAATTCATAACAGTACCAAACTTACAGTTGTGAATTAGCAGTCATAATTTTATGGTTGGGGATCACTACATGAGGAACTGTTTAAAAGGACTGAAGCATTAGGAAGATTGAAAACCACTGGTATACATACGTATACATTTTAGAAATAATAAAAATATTAACTTAGAGCAAGGAGTTTGCACCTTTCTAAAATCTACAGCATAATTAGTCTTTGAATCAAAGCTTCCTAATACAGATGGTTGAATTATGTGAAGCAGAGTTCAGTTACAGGATAAACCCAAATCTCTATTAGGTGGTGTTCTAGACATGAATCTCCCTAACTAGAGTCTTCTAGAATCTGTTTTGGATTTGGTAGAGGTTGGTTTTGTTTGAGACTGAGCCTCATGTAGTCTAAGCTAGTCTCAGACTTGCTGTGTAGCTAATACTTTCAGATCCTCCTGCCTTCACACCCCATTTTCTGGGATTACAGGTATGTACCACTATGCCCTGTCTTATGCAGTCCTGAGGAGCAAAGACACCCTGTGGTTGCTAAACAAGGATTGTACTAACTGAACTGCATCCCAGCCCTTGTAGCATGTGCTTGTTGGGCATTTCTCCAGGGACCCTCTAGGTAGGATCGTTGTGCTGCCGTACTTTTATCTGTGTATCTGTGTACAAGTGCTCTTCTTTACCTTCTGTTTGCTGGACCAAGTACTAGCAAGACCGTGAAAGGGAGGTACTACCATAGCTCTAGGGGTTGAACCTAACTGGGGTGGCGAGAGAATGAAGTAAAAACGGACACACATGTGCACAGAAAAGCTGTTTGTGCAGTGCACTGAACTAATGATAAAACCTCAACATTCCAGAAGATCGGGGTGTTTATTACATGCAGCTGAACAGAAGAGCAGGGTTTCTGGTATACAAGGGGATCATGGAGGCATGTTTAGCTAATCGTGGTGAGAACAGTCTCTTCAGGGGAGCAGTCTTCAAGCTGTCAATTCAGGGGGAATAGCTGTGGTATACATTTTCTGGACATGCTGGCAACATTCGCACTCAGACCCCTGAGTAAGGCTTTGCCATCCCTCTGAGCCTCACCTGGATTGAAGAGACAGACAGGTCTGCCCTTTTCTCATGGGTCTGTGACTAGGGCCTGTGACGTGGTCGTGTCAGCAGTTCACACACTCAGGGCTTCCTGTACTCCTTCCCTGAAGGGACTTCTCCAGCTTTCACAGTTCCTTCCCTTTTGGGTACAGAAGTGAATTCTTTAAGGTGGGAGATAGAGAGGTGACTCAGCAGTTAAGAGCATTTGCTGTTCTTGCAGAGGACTTGGGTTCCATTCCCAGCACCCACGTGGCAGTATACAGCAATCTATTTCCTCCTATTCCAGTAGGTCCAGTGGCCTCTGGGCCTTGCAAGCATATGCACTAGTACATGCAGGCAGAACACTTATATAATATTTAAAAATTAATGCCAGGCATGGTGTCTCATGCCTTTAATTCCAGCATTCAGGAGACAGAGGAGGCAGATATCTGTGAGTTTGAGGCCAGCCTGGTCTACAAACCAAGTTCCCACTGTTACACAGAGAAACCCTCTCTCTTGAAAAACCTATATAAATAAATAATCCTAAAACAGAAGCAGCAGCCACAGTAGCTGAAAGCTAAAAGGTCAAAGATAGTAGACCGTGTTTAACCTACTTGATGCCCGAATACAGTCCCTAGCAACAAGGTAGGAGGTTAGCCCTGGATTCTCAGACAGTCTCCCTGCTTAGAAAGAGTTCTCTACTAGTCCTGAGTTCCCTTGGCTTCCTTGTCTGCTACACAAAGGGATCCAGCTCATTTTGCAGTTTGCTTCCTAATGTGTCTGAGCCTCTGTGATTGACTTCACACCACCTCTCTCTGCTCTTCCAGCCCTCACATTGTTTCAAATGGTGTATGAGATAACTGAAACTACAGCACGCCTCTCAATACCTGTTATAGTTTACCCAACACCATAGAATCCTATCTCCATTCTTGCATAAACCCTTCAGAGCACACTGACCTGTTTTTGAGTGAACACTTTATTATCAGGCAGGAGACAAAGATCAAATGCTGGGACTGGGGAGATAGCTCAGCTGTTAAGAGCATTTGCATCCAAGCACTCAAGTATCAGTTGACAACCATCTATAATTATAATTCCAGGCGATCTGATGCCCTCTCTCCTCCACCGGCACCAGGTATGTATGGGCAGGCAAAACACCCATGTAAATTTTTAAAAGTTGTTTTAGTTTTAAGGGAGTGATGAAAGATTTGTTAACAAAGGTTGAAACAAAGTAAACATTGGCTAATGACTAGTGGACAGACAATAATAGTCAAGTAGGTGTACAGAAAGCAACTATGGTAGACAGCGGGGAGAGAGGGAAAATAGAGCAACATACTTGCAGCCACAGCTGAGCTCCTGACCCATCCAAGTAACCCATTTACCACAGGAACAGGACTGTGCAGGCCTAATGGAAGTGGAGAAACATTCCACCAGATAGGGAGACAGTTGGGGTTGCCAGATACCACAGGGACATGCAATGCAGTGAATGGCTTAAGTAAATGTCCTGTATTTTATGGCAATTGGAAAGAGTTGCAGGCTGGCACAGCCATGGGTTCCAAGAAATCTTTATAAGGGAGAGCATAATGTGAGGGTCTGGCTTGCTGATTCTGAGGACAGAGAGTTGAGCAACAAGGGGTTTTTCATGAACCGCGGTACAATGAATGAGAAAGAGAAACAGCACCCAGAAAGAAAGGGCTTGCATGTTTCTACTTGACAGTCTGATATTGAACCTTAGGGCAAAGGAGAAACACAGGTTTGGGAGCTGGAGAGATGGCTCAGTGGCTAAAAGCACAGCCCGCTCTTTCAGAGGTCATGGGTTCAGTTCTCAGCAACCAGACAGTAGCTCACTACCATCTCTTACGGAAACTAAATTATTGAAAAGCCATGTTTTTTGTTAAAAACCAATCATCCAGATGATTGGAGAATGAGTATGAATTTTTTAAGCGTAACTGTGGAGAGGGGAAACAGCTCTTCTTTAACTTCTTTCTCTAGTTTCGGAAACAATATTAGGAAATTTGATCCCAAGAAAGACCACTTCTACGACTGAGAAGAGCAAAATTTGGTGAGAGTAAAACAGTTTTCCTACAGCTCCACCCCAGTAAGTAGCCAGGGTGGAGAATTCTCCTAATAGGCAAGCCTCACGTAAACGGCATTGCTATTTGGAGTTAACTGAAAAATTTCTGAAGAATTTAGATTTATTCTGTATGATTCTGAAAAGCGAATGTACATAAAGCCTGTTCGACTCATTCAAAGAGGGAAGCGTTCAAGCTAATGGGCAAGTGTTACGAGAGGAAAAGAACCATACAAATGAAACACAGCGCGACGCAAACTCGAAATTGCAGCTGGTTCTGCTAATAAGATAGAGCTTCAGTAGCACTGTTTTCAGTACAGAGTTGTTTCGGCTCGAAGTAGTCGGGGCCACACGGGTGTTTTCTGTACCTCTAGGTCAAGCTAAGAAGCCCACGAACGTGTGACAGCCAGAGTCTTCTCTGCTGCTTCTATCACTAGATATCCGAAAAACAGCGCTCTCTGCTGAGAACACTACAAATCCCATCGTGCCTCTCCAGCTGAGGTGGGCGGGTCCTTGATGCACGTGGGTGACTCTGACCAATAGTGACTGTCGTTACAGCGAACCATTTGACCGCGTTTGTAAAAGGCTGCAACAGGCAAAGAGAGAGGCGGCGAGGGCGGTCGCCATCGAGAGGTCCCTAGAGGTGCGAGACAGGTAAGGGAGCCCTATGTGTGAGGCTGGGCAGCGGCCGGGCACAGCTGGGGGTGGGAGTCAAGGCGGAGACTGTGTTCTAGAAATTGCGTGTCGGGGTAGTTACACTTCTGTTGGGGCCTCACTTGGCACCGGAAGTGAGTGTCGTGCGGAGGATGCCGGGATGCAGGTCGCCTGGGAAATGCGTTTTGCAGCCGGATGGTCCCGGAAGCGGCGCTTAGGCGCGCGCTCCCAAACACAGTGGGACTGAGGATCGGACTCTGATCTGACAGCAATCTACGTGATTTCCCACACTCAGTAAAGGCTTGCGACCTTTGACACTTCGGTCCAATCCGACAGTCTCATCCCTAAATACCTCCTCCACAGATCCCTTCAGTGAATGCGCTACTCCAGCAGTTCTTTCTCACCTGGGGAGCGCTAAACACGTCCCAAAACAGCGTCCCACACACCGATCTGCAGCTGGGTGGCTTCAGGGCGAAACCTCCCTAGTCCTAGGTTGCCTCTGCCAGCGCCAGACGCTGTTCATCCTCTTTGTAAAGAGAATCGACCATCCCGAGACCCTTCAGGTTTCCAGCGCAGCTTCTTCACAAGTCGCGTTCCTTGTGTAATCCTTTAAAGACAGATGGTCTGCAAGCCGGGTTCGGTGGCGCTGCCTGTCATCCCAGCATTCGGGAGGCAGAGGCAAGAGGATCTCGAGTTCCTGGACAGCTAGGCTAGGTCTCAGACCTTACCTCCCGTCTCTCCCCATCCACCAACACTAGCTGGGCGTGGTAGCGCACGCTATTATCCCAACATTCTGCCTGAGACCGGCGGGTCTGTTGAGTTCATGGCTAGCCTGGTCTAGGAAACCCTGTGTCTCAGAAAGAAAAAAAGAAAAAGAAAAAAGAAGAAAACTGTAATGAGTCATAGTAGTACATGTTTTAAAATTCAAATAGTAAAAAATGAAATGTAAATCTCCATTTTCCCAGGTCTCAGATAACTGCTGAGACAATAGACATCTATACTGTGTCCTTTCTTTTTAAAAAACAAACAAACAAACAAAAAAGTGTGTGTGGAATTAGAGTTATAGGAAGTTGTGCGTCCCCCGATGTGGGTGCTGGTGGCCGAACTTGAGTCCTGTAAAAGCAATACATGCTCTTAACCACTGAACCATCTCTCCAGCCCCCCCCATTAAGTTCTTTTTCTTTTTAAAACAAAACAGCATACACAAAGCACTACCCTTTTTACACTCCACAGCATGTTGATACATGTTCATTACACAGATACCACTTTTAGTGGCTTTACAGTAGCCCATTACCTAGTTACACTCTACTCAGTTCTTTACTGAAAGTTCTCTTCCTGTTCTGCAGTTAGGAAATCTCACAGAGGATCTCTGTGATTTGGAGGCCAGCCTGGTCCACATATTGACTTCAAGAACAGCCCAGGTGTACATAGTGAGACCCTATCTCAAAAAGCAGAGTTGGGACTGGAAGGATGTCACAGTGGTTAAGAGTGCATACTGCTCTTGCAGAGGGTCTGAGTTCAATTCCCGGCACCCTTGTCTAGTAGCTCACTACTACCTGTAACTGCAGTTCCAGGGATATCCAGTGCGTCTGTTCTCCAGAATGCTTGTACTCATGACATAGCCTGACACAGGCACACATGAACATGTGATTAAAAGTAAAAATGAAAATATATACATACAAATTATATCTTAGAAGTGAAATTGTTAAAGCAAAGTGTTTGTTACTACATATTTTTATTTACATCCTTTCCAATAGAATGGTGAGATATATACACACTAACAATGTAACAATAAATGTAACAATAAATACTTTACATTCTATTAATAAGTACTTTGCTAAAATTTTACTTTCTGGTTTATTTCTGTGGCTTACAGTGCTAGGGATTAAATCCAGGGCCTTCAGCATGCTGGGAAGTACACTACTTCTTACCTCATTTCCAGGCTTGTAACTCCTATAGAGTCCTTCCTATATAAAGTCCTGACTCCTATAGAGTCCTTTCCAAATAAAATCCTATCTCTTCTAAAGCTCTTTTCTGGTGACTTTTTTTCCTCCCTAAGACGGTTTCCTGTCCTGGAACTCACTTTGTAGATCATGCTGGCCTTGAACTCACAAGATGGCTTTTTTTAAAAAAAAAAAAAAAAATTAATTGGTACTAGGGACTGAAACTAGAAGCCTCCAGGTAAGCACTCTGTGATTAAACTATATCTCAGCCCTCGCTTTTAAAACAATTTTTTTAGATTTATTCATGTACGTGAGTGTCTGTATACCACCACCCAGATGCCTGGTGCCCTCAGAAGTGTAAAGGCATTGGATCCCTTAGAGCAGGAGTTAGAGATGGTCATGAGCAACCATGTGGGTCCTAACAACTGAACCCAGGTTCTCTGCAGGAGAAACAAGTGCTGTTAACCCCTGAGCCTTCTCACTGGCCTCCCCACCCCCATTTTTTTCTCAAAAGATTTGCTTATTTTTATTTTATGTGCTTGAATGTTTGTTTACATGTATGTCTTTTCATCCGTTTAGAGACCAGAAGAAAGAATTAGACCTCTGGAGCTGAACTTACAGGCAGTTCTGAGTAGCCATGTGGGCACTGGGAACTAAACCCAGGTCCTCTGCAAGAGCAACAAGTGCTCTTAACCACTGAGCCATCTGCAGATCTCTGTTTCTCTCTCTTTCTTATGCCTTTAGCATTTGAATTTCATTCTCCCTCTCTTTTATAAGATAGTAATAGTTTTATTGAAATGCTATACACATAAAATCAACCTCTTTAAAAAATATTACAAGTCAAGAGATCTTGTAAATCTACAGAATTGAAAAACATTTCATAGAGTTGTATAATATCTTTCATCATCCCAGAAGAAACCTGGTAACCATCACTACTAAATCCCTCCTCCATCCAGCCCTGTACCATTAGACTCTTTCTGTCTTTATTTTCCTATTCTGAATGTTTCATTCATGGAATCATACAATGTATGATCTTCTATATTTAGCTCCTTTCATGCAACATACTATTTCCAGTGGCTAATCGTGAGAAATCTTGCTCAACATATATATTCAGTAGTCTGCAAATAACATTACAGTGGATACCATATGATGCCCACTGCAGTCAGATGTCTGTAAGAAAGAAGACTATGCAGATGCAGAAATCTTAGGTTGTCTGTGGGAATAGAAAGGGTACACTTCCTTTGGAAAAAGCTTTTCAGGTCTGAAAATGTTCAGTGTTCAGAGGAGATAGGCATGTTTACTGTGTTTGTTGAACATTACACAATGTTTACTTGTACTGAAATATAAAATCCAGCATTGTGGTCCATACTTGTAATCCTGTCACGTAGGAGACTAAGGCAAAAGGATTATCAAGAGTTCGAGGCCCGCCTGGGCTACATAATAAATTCCAGGTCACAGAGTAAAACTCTAACTTAAAAAAATAAAAGAAGGAACTGGGAGGTGGTGGTGCACACCTTTAATCCCAGTACTCAGGGAGTCAGAGGCAGGCAGATCTTTGTGAGTTCGAGGCAGCCTGGTCTACAGAGTGAGTTCCAGGACAGCTAGAGATACACAGAGAAACCCTGTCTCGAGAAAACCAGCAAAACAAAAACAAAACAAAAAGGACCGGGTGGTGGTGGTGGTGCACACCCTTCATTCCGCCACTCAGGAGGTAGAGGCAGGGGGATCGTTGTGAGTTCAAGACCAGCCTCGCCTTGAACTACAGAGCTAGTTCCAGGACACTCAGGACTGTTACGCAGAGAAACCCTGTCTTGGGGGGAAAAAATGTGGGTAAACAAACATGACCTACCAATACACTGAAATACCGCATTAAATAACGATTTGCAGGAATTAGAATAATAGCTCAGCAGTTAAAAGTGCTTGCTGTTCTTTAGAGGACAAGAGTTCGGTTCCCAGCACTTCTATCAGGCAGCTTTTTAACTGCATGTAACTCCAGCTCCAGAGGATCCCATACCTTCTTCTGACCTCCATAGGCATCTGTATTCACATGTGCATATACTCATACAGACAGATACACAAATACAAATAAATCTCTGGAAACATTTTAATTAGTTGGGTATGCTACCTTATGCCTTTAATCAGAAGGCAGAGGAAAGTTACTCTCATTAGTTCCAGGAGTTTCAATTCAGCCAGGGCTACATAGTGAGACCCTGTCCCAGAAACAAAGCAAAAAGATTGTGCAAAGCTAATACAAATATGCATGTGTATGTGTATTTGTAAAGTTAGGTGTCTATGATTTTTACGTAGAATTGGCAGTATGTTATACAATCTGATTTGCCCCTATTTTTTTTTTTAAAGAATCACAAGAAGATTATCTCTTTTTCTTTTGATAAAAAAAAGCATTAGCCGGGTGATGGTGGTGCACGCCTTTAATCCCAACACTCAGGAGGCAGAGGCTAGTGTTTCTCTGTGAATTTGAAGCCAACCTGGTCTTCAAGAGCTAGTTGCAGGGCAGCTAGGACTGTTACACAGAGAAACCCTGTCTCGGTGAGGTGGGAGGAGAAAAGAAAAGATGGTTCTTATAGTAAAGTTCCTGCCTTGCAATTTGAGGACCTAAATTCTGATCTGTGGAACCCACATACAGAGTCAGGCACAGAGGTGCATACCCGTAATCCCAGTGCTTGTGAGGCAGAGCCAAGAGGATCCCTGGGGTTTGCTTGCCAACCAGTCTAGACAAAATGGTGAGTTCCAGGTTCAGTAAAGGACTCTGTTTCAAAAAATTAGGCATAAGGCTGGAGAGATAGTTCAGTGGTAAAGAGTATTTGTTGTTCTTGCAGAGTACCAGGGTTCAGT